CCTGGGGCATTTCGACACACCTGACTGCTACACTATACACTGGTCTTCCAATGTGAGCTGGGATATCCGAGTTGGGCCAGTTTCTTGAATGAAATCCGGGGTGCAACACACCCAAACAGCTGCTGCTGTCGTGATCTTGTGGTCTCTGTGCGCTTCGCAGCAGTGTAGGGCCCTTTGCGCGAATTGCCGCATCAGTCTTACTTGTGATTACCATTTAAGATGTTTGCCGAGCTTTGACATGTTATTGGCTGGAGTACAGTTGATGCGCGAAGCAATGCACAGCACAAGCTGAACGAGCAACAAGTGTGGTCGTCACCTTTTTGAATATTTGAATATTTGAAATTTCATGAAGCAGCATGACTCCCGTGGCGTCCTACGCGTATTAATCACCCATGCAAAAGGGGGAAAGGTCGGAGCAAAGGCGGCGGCAAAGGCGGCGGGCGCGGGCGCGGCGGCGGCGGTTGGCGCGGCGGCAAAGGCGGTGGTGGCGGCGGGCGCCGCGGTGGACTGGGCAGCTGTGGGCGCGGCGGCCGCGGGCGACAAGGGGCTACGAGAGGCCGGAGTCAGAGCCAGCCGTCCATGGACGAGTGTAACAAGCTGCTTCTCAAGACAGCTGAGAATAGGCTGGACGAGTTTTTTAGCGAATGGCACGTGGGGAGATGGTGTCAAGGAGGAAGAAGTGCAAGACCTGATTGATTTCGCCGAAGATCTGTACGACCCGTTCGAAGGAGAGACCATCAGCCCTATTCCACAGGTGAACGAACTATGTAGGGTTTGTCGCGTGTTGCCGAAACACTCCGTGGGAATCCTGAAAAAAACGCATGGGGAAGTAATTGATCATTCTTCGTTTATCGTAATCCATATAGCGCTTATCGAAAGTAGAGTTTCGATTTTACATGAAGAAGTTGCAATTAAACCTGGTTTCCTCTTCCTCCAGTAGTAGGCGGTGCCATTTCTAGCTGTCGCATGTTGTAGGAATGTTCTCTCCTTTGACGTATTCGTGCCAAGTGTTGGATTGGTCCTCCCCTTTCAGCCCAAGCTTAATATAATCATTTGACCGATAGCCGAGCGGTAATGGAGCCTCAATGTTCTTGTCGCTGACTGCCAAGGGAGCTTCGGTTGTTTCAGTCCCGACGATGTCGATCCCATCGCCGCTTCTCTGCTGAACGGGGCTGCAGCAGTACACGGTGGGGGGTTGGGAACACCTATGAAAACCAAGGGGAACGGCGCGTGTTTGATAAACGGATTAGTATTCGCTGCACTCAACATGAAGTGTTCGGACGAGTGGCCGGGAGACGGGCCCGCGCTTGCTCTCCGTGCCGCTGCTGTTCGAACCGCCCTCGTGAAGTTTAAGACTTTTTTGAGCCCCGACGGATACCTTGCGTAGTATTGTTCTGGGCAGCTGTTCGATTACGGCGACGCAGACCGGGTGAAGAACCTCACGGGCGGGGTGGAGTGTCCAATGGATGTCGGTGGAAATGGCGCGGCTATACTTCCTCTGCGCCCTCAGGAACATCACTGGACCGTGCAGCACGTGCCAGGGGGCGTGCTTGCCGTGGGTAGTCGAGGTTCTCGGCCTGAAAGTTTGGGTCGTTCACCCAGGTGTGTACTTCAATTATTACGGTTTAGTTATTTTAGCGATAGGTTGCAAACTTGTCGTTGGCCGTCGTCGCAAATCAAAAAGCTCTGATGACTTCATCTTGAATTTTGTACAGGGCTGATGACTTCGTCTTGTATTCCCTACGACGCAGGAGCAACCGCTGCATACGTCGGCACTGCGCGGAACTTGCGGGAGCGGGCGCCGTTGTCGTGCAAGCAGATGAACCGGGAGGAGGTTGCGAAAATACCCACGGTGTATTTGTCCCACTCTGTCTCCCGTGGAGTCGAGGATGGATGCGAGGAGTTCAGCACGGTACAAGATTTCCACGCCTTGCAAGACGACCGGCGATACACCCACTTCGTTGTGTTGGTTTACACTCACTCTGCAGATGCCTTTGAGCTGGTGAGACTTACAGTACGTTCAGCTACCGTAGCACAACAGTTCTGTGTCCTTGTCTGTCTCAGTTGCGCGCGTGCATGAATACTCAGTAGCCGATTTCACGTTCCTGACCTATGTGATAAAAACGTCTCCCTGCCCTGTTGTTTGCGCTTGTCGTTTGTTGTTCTAGGCAATCCACAAGGGAGCGAAGGAGTCGGAAGCTGCTGCATGTCGAAGGGGAGAACGGGGGAAGGAGAAGGAGCGAAAGCGAGCGGCGGAGCAAGCGGCCGCGCAAGAACGCGCGCTTGCCGCGGCAGCAGCTGAGACGGAGCGGAAGCGAGTGGCGGAGCAAGGGGCAGCTCACGCACGGGCGGCGGAGCTAGCGGCCGCTCGAGCACGGGCGGCGGAGCAGGCGGCAGTTCAAGAACGCGCGCGTCTCGCAGCAGCAGCTGAGATGGAGCAAGCGCGGGCGGCGGAGGAAGCGGCCGTTAGAGAACGCGCGCGTCTCGTAGCAGCAGCAGCAGCAGCAGCAGCAGCAGCTCATCGGGAGGAAGCAGCGGCGAGGCGTGCGGCGAGAACAGCAGCGAGGGAGTAAGCACGTACTGCTCAGCTGCAAGCGCGTACGGGCCGGGTGGCAGAAGCCATAGAGGCGGCGGACGAGGAGTTGCGTAATCCAGCCGACGGCGTCACTTCACAGGAGGATTCACCCAACGTGGTACGTTTTGAAATGTGGGTGCGTGGAAGATGCACCGGAGTAGGAGGTTTCGTATGGTGCACGTCAACGCCACCAAAAATATACGAGTGGCTCCCCCGTGCTGCTGCTGTGCGGTATACGTTTCCTCGGTTCCTGCAAAACTACCCAACGTCATCTTGATACAGGGACACCAGCCGAAGAATATTGGTTCTCATACACACCAACAACGCAAAACCCTCTCCTCGTCGCCGCCCCACAACTCTCCTGCAGGATGCCGTCGGCAACTCGCAACCCAACACTGGTGCATCGGACGGCGTTGATTCGCAGCCCGGGCCGGAGGGCAGTACAAAAAAGTGCTATGTGTGCCATGTCTACGAGCAACACCCACGTCATTGTACGACAGCAGCATGGGACCAACTCCGGTTTAACATGTCACATCGACGTCCTCAAGCTCTTCGAGGGGATGTTAGGGTTGGGATTCTGGCCCCATATCTTCACGCCGTTGCAGAAGTGCCTACCGCTAATTGCGGCCTACATACTTTGTGGCCACGACTTCAGGCCGACGCTGTCCGGGTATTCTTCGATGAAGATGTTCAAGGCATACTGCGAAGCAATCAAGGTCCCAACCAACCACCCCTTCGTTCAGCCGCTTGGTTCGGTAAGGGTGGAGGGTGAAACCATCGTTGGGCTGGGCTTTGACAAGCTGGCGTGCGCAAAGTTTGTCTCTCTCGCGTATTTCTGGAATAACCGTGGCATATTCGGGCAAAACTTGCCCGGGCACCAGGTGAGTTTCGCCACGATCGAGGGTTGCCCGAGGTTCATCAATGTTGGTCAGTTTTTCCCGCTTTGAATTTGGTGTGGACAATCGATAGCCCACCCAATGCTTACTTTTTCTCTCTTTCTCGTGGGTGTGATATTTCTTCGTGAACCACAGCAGTGCTCTCAAAGAATACTGAAAGACAAGCTCTCGTATTTTTCGCCCCCACCAATACTTGGCTAAGGTGAACCCTGATTCGGGCGGGCCGCTCGACGAGACTATTCCGTGGGTTCGATCACATCAGCGAGCAGATGACCCTTCATTGGTACAGCAAGGGTAACGTTAAAAGTAGCGCTCCCAAATACGACGTAACCAAGCTTCATGTGCGCCGGATGACATGGGTTGCAGAGTACTGGCTGTCGGTAGCAGTGGCGTCGAGTTTTCCTGTCTGTTACCCAATTCTCGTTCCCGATTGGCGCAACCGGGAGTACTTGGAAAATCCTTCTGTTGAGGGTGGAGTTCCAGTGCATATGCGATCGTTGCCAAAGGTGACTTACTGGCCAGGTGTAGGAATATGGGTGGTCAAATGCAACAGGTGTAAGCCACAGCCAGGGAAAGGGAAATGTGAAGGCTGCCCGTGCGCGATTAAGGGTGACGGCCGCTGCTCGCAGCTGTGCAACTGCGAACTCGTTTGCTGCCCGGAAGAACATCGTCATGCCCTAGAGGAAGCTGATATCGTGCTTTCCGATTCTAGTGGGGAAGAAAACGGCAGCGATGCTAGCGACAGCGATAGCGACGGCGAGGAAGACGTGCCGGGTGACTTTTCTGGTTGTGAGCCAATGGATATCGGGGGGTTTGAACAGGAAAATGTTTTGGAGTACGAGCAGCTTTTGGAAGCTGATCAGGGTGGTCAAGGGGGGTCGACTCTGGAGTTTATGTCGAACCCTGGGTTTAACGAATGCAGAATTCGAATGTTTTGGTGTGTTTCTGAGGCTGCGGGGTGGGCAGAAAGCGAATGACGTGCGTCGCCGCATGGTGTGTGGAATAAAAAAGTGTTTGAGAAAAAAGAAAAAAGTGTCGCTTTGCTGGAACTTCGCTTTCCGCCGAGGGGCCATACAAGCAGTCACCACACCACCTACAGCACATGCGGCTTTGATTCTGCGCTGGCTGGGCGAGTCGTTCTTATAAGGATCGTTTCTCTACAAAAAAAAACACTTCGTGCGCACTTGCTATCGACGGGATGGGAAACAGGTGCGGGTTTTTACCGTCGGGGGGTGTTTATCGTACCACGGCGGCCATGCGCAAATCAGCCTCGAACTCTAAACAAAAAAAAGCAGTGTGGGTTGGCCAACCCTGAAGCATGGCTGCCGCATGTAGTGTGTAAGCCAGTCGATGGCAACACATACGCCGACTAAATTCGGCCGAAATTGAATGTCTGAGCACCGTTGTCCTTCCTTCAAAATAGTGAAGCTGCTAGAAGTACACCTAATGTTGCAATTCTGACAAAAACAACAAAGTCAAGTCACAAAGAAAGAAAGGGCGGCAATCCATCCTCCACCCAGAGACTGCTACTCTATTTTTTTCGGACAATTACGAGCAAAACAAAAGCTTGGAGCCACCTGCGGTCGTCGTATCAGCACGAGTGTTGTACCAGACCCCCCAAAATTCACCAACCATGACCTACACGGGCGTGTATCTGGCCCTCCTTAACAAAACACACACAAAGAGCCGGAGGGTTCGCCGAAAGCCACACTCCTCGGTCTGCGCAAGGTTCAAGAAAAGACAGGGGCAGCTTTAGCGCCACGCCTTTCTTCGCTACCGACAGCGCCGCCTTGAAAAACTTCAGAGCTCCCTTTTAGGGGGGGCTCTTCACGACCCAGTCAGGGCGCTGTTGAATGCTGTTCTCCAGGAAGGCGGCACAAAATGTCGTCGCGCTTGCATCTAAGTGCATGTCCGGTGCCTTCTTCGAGCCGGGGGACAACCTGAAAATAGAGGAGGAACGAGGTGTAGGCGGGGCAAAAAGGGATGGAAACGAACGCGCTCTATTGCTACGTATTGGGCAGTACAAAGTTGGGAGGGGGGGGGAGGAGGGAGCAGGGGGGCCGACAACATAAGTGCTAAATATAACCACGGGGGGTGCTGTGTAACAACCTCCACGCTCCGCTATTCTGCAGTCGCAACCACAAGCCACGTGCTGTTGTACCCCAACTACGACAAAAAATCACCTACCGCTGATGTCGTTCGTGATGAGCTCACACGTGGCTCCAAGTAGCCGTGCCACCGCATCACAGGGTCCCCCACACATGTCCAATACTCTCCCGCTAATGTCCACAGCACGAAGCAGCACCTCGACCGCCGCATCTGAGGTACAGCAGCGGTCCAGAAGGCGGCGTTGAAGCTGCCGGACCGGCTCGGGAGAACCGGTCCACTTTGTTCTGGCCGCGGGCACAAGCTTCAGTTTGCGTGCAATGCGCTCTTTGCTGAGTACTCTCATGCGCTTGTCGTACAGGTTCAACAAGCAACCAGCACGTTGACACAGTACCAAGGGGGTGATCGAGAGCACTGCTAGGCCAGGAAAGTTTTCCGTGATGCCCGTCTCCTCCATGAACGCCCGCAGCATGCCTGCCGTCCTCGGTCATAGCTGTCGATACCCTGAGCCGTTTTCGCTCTCAAGACACGCGCAACAGGTCTTGCTGCTGCCACTGCTTCCACAATGCGATCCCTCGGTGTCCATACCTCCTCTCACGCTCGCAAGAGAGGAGTAAACGAAACCTGGGTCGATAAACCGTGCGCGAGCATCGACGGGTTCGCGTTCATGTTTCTTTGTTCGCACGTGGCAGTCAAAACTCAGTATACTAAGAAGATTGCGCCGCATTTTCTGTCAACACAGAAGGCTGCGCGAAATCGACGATTGTGATGCGTGTAGTGGAGATCGCAAATTCTACCTTCGATTTATAGTTTCTATGCTTTCTAATATCAGTGGTTGAAAAGTATCGAGAGTGTTGTGAAACTCTTTCGAGTAGGAACATGGGCACGAAAGTCGCCTACTACATCGCGACTTGGCCGCAGCTTTGCGGGTTCGTGAAACGTAGAGGACCTCGGTTATCGGTTGTTCACAGATGCTAAACTACAAAACCAACGATTCACCGGTAGACAGCGCAGTGTTTCAAAGGCCTCTGTCAAATTTGGCGTTGGTACGTGCCCTCAGTGCTGAGCACGGGGTTGCTGTAGGCAAGTGACTCGGGTGGGGTCACACGCGTTGCATTCCGAGGGGATCCGTGGATTCGTAAGGGGTACCCGATGCCTGGTTGGCATGACTTTTTAGCGTTTCGTATGTTGCAAGGACCTTCACCAACTTTGCTGTTGCGTCTTGTTACGCTTGCGTCTTTGCAGCACCCACAACACACCGCACTACTGCGCGTGCTGTGAGGCGTGAGGCTCTCGACGCCTGCAATGTTTTCCAGTGCATCCTCGACGTATAACCTCAAGCGACCCGTACGGTGCATCGCGGCGTTAGCGCCGCAAGAGGAGTCGCCAGAAGAACAGCAGGGTGGCATCAGCAGCTCGCGCTTTGTAGTCGGCACGTGCAGCTTGCGGGAACCCAACGAGCTGCACGTCTTGGGATTCCACGAAGAGAGCAACGAGCTGTTGTGTCATCAGGTGCGTTTGTAGTATGGTCGAGGTGTGGAGCAATCGAGGTGCCGCTTTTAGCGCTGGTGAACTTCACCTTAAGAATGGATGAGGTTCCGCCGCACATGGTAAATTACTTCCTCATTGTGTGTGTCGCTTAGAATGTGAATATGAAGCTAATTTCGTTGTGTCGCCCATGCGATAAAACAAGATGGCTGCTACTGCAGGTACGACTGGTCCTTCATTGTCCGTAGGCACTGATTTTACCCTGTTTCCACCCTATTCCGTTCGTATTGCCCCCCCCCCCCCC